GTTAGTTTCCGGTTAGGTTAAGATAAGTTAGGTTAGGTTTGGTTATATTTCTACGTTAGTTTTAACTAAAAAATGAACTAAAATATATATACATATACATATATATATATATATATATATATATATATATATATATATATATATATATATATTATATATATATATATATATAACTTTTTAGACACTCAACCCACCAGGAGACTCGAACACTGGCCAACAAGGTGGCAGTTGCATGCTGTATCCACTACGCTATACTTCAAAGCCATAAGAGAGGTAGGAATTCTGGGGTATTTAACCAACCAGAATTCCATCCTCTCCCAGGCGATGAGATAGTGTGGGACCTCGGATGCTCTTCATCGGTTCCTGTTATATGGGAAAACTCAGTGTTTCATGCTTATGCACAGACTACCCTATTCCAGTAGCTGAAGTTTATAAACTTCAGCTACTGGAATAGGGTATCTGTATACTATAATATATATATATATATTATTATATATATATATATGAGCTAGGATAAGGCATTAACTCTCGGTGGTTCGTAGGCCTAAGGGTCCGGGTTCGATCCTCGGCGGAGGTGGAAACAAATGACCAAGGTTTCTTTCATCCTGATGTCTCTGTTCACGTAGCAGTAAATAGGTACCTGGGAGTTAGACAGCTGCTACGGGCTGCTTCCTGGGTATGTATATGTGTGTGTGAAAAATAGGCTTAAGGACTTGCCCGAATTTCAAATTTCAGGATTTCTGCGAGTTGCACCTTTGGTATCTCATTCCAGACTTTCCTTCCCAATTAGGCGTGATTGATTCATTTGTAAATCAGATACGTGGGCGGTAATCTGAATGCATTTAAATTTGGCAAACATTTATAAGTTGAATCCCTTGTAAATTAAGCAAATATTTATAAGTTGAATCCATTGTAAATTAAGCAAACATTTATAAGTTGAATCCATTGTAAATTAGGCAACCATTTCCAACCAGAATGTATTATAAATTTGCTCATATCTCGATGTTAGGAAGAAGATGAACCGAACATCGCGATGAAGAGATGAGTGGCTCGACCCAAAGGAGAAAGAGATCGACCTAAGGGAGAAAGAGAGAATGATCGACCCAAGGGAGAGAGAAAGAGAGAGAGAGAGAGAATGATCGACCCAAGGAAGAAAGGGAGGGATCAATCCAAGTATGATTACGGTGCCGTCCTTGTTATGTCTCACAGTTTGATGATACTAGCTATAAGGCTTGGATCGTGGGTTGTAGTTCGATAAGTGTGACGCGGGATGTAGTGTGAGACTCAGACGGGTGGCTTCGTCTCTTCATCTCTCACATGTTGACTGTCTTACTGAGTGCTTAATATGACTAGGTTGTTATTTTCTGGATCTCTTTGGTCCTCCATATTTCTAAGTGACTCTCTCTCTCTCTCTCTCTCTCTCTCTCTCTCTCTCTCTCTCTCTCTCTCTCTCTCTCTCTCTCTCTCTCTCTCTCTCTCTCTCTCTCTCTCTCTCTCTTGTCATCCTATTGTTCTATGGTTATCCTACTGTTCTTTGATTATCCCTCTGTTCTATGGTCACCCTACTGTTCTATGGCCAGCCTACTGTTCTGTGGTTCCATCCTGTTTTGTGATCATCCTGTTCTGTGATCATCCTTTTCTGTGATCACCCTGTTCTGTCATCATCCTGTTCTGTAGTCAAACTGTTCTGTGAACATCATACTGTACTGTGGTCATCCTATTGGTCTGTGATCAACCTTTTGGTCTGTGGTCAGCCTCCCGTCGGTGAGAAGTGGGAATGATTTGGAGAACCTGCTCGAGAACCTGAGAGGTGGTACTCGAGCAGGTCCTCGAGTTGTTCCAGTGTGGTCCTCATGTTGGAACTCTCTACTGCAGTTCTATTTTTTATATTTTGTTTACGTTTTATGATATAATAATTAAAAAAAAGAGTGTATTCTTTTACATTTCGCCTAACTCATCGTCAATTCTTCTCAGTTTTAAAATTTACTAAAAGCCTCAAACCTTTTATTATATAATATATAAATTATTACAAAAATTGATGGGTTATACAGTGAGATCGAACTCAAGTCACTGGTCTCCACCCCAAACACATGCATTTCGTCTCATCGATACATCACTTTCTAATGCGTTCAGTGTGTAACAAAAATATAAAAAAAAAAAAAAAATAGCTTTGATCACGGAAGAAGAATCCAGATCGCTTAAATAAACGCAAACAAGTGGTTACTGAGCCCCAAACAAGGTGGGGTAGATAATTAAGAGTGGACGAGACTTATGGTCCTCTTGAAAACGCAAACAACTGCGATTCAAAGAGAATAGCAGGATGTGAAAAGGTAGTTACGTTACAACAATGGTGTGGTGCGGGCTATACAATCTGGCTTTTGTGGGGAAGGCAGGACGCTGTGTGAATAGTGCCTATTATGGCAGCTGACAGATAAGGAGATTCCCGCACTGAGGCAGAGAGGCAGTCGTAGACAGACACAGCCACAGACATAAAGCGAGGGAGGGAGACAAACACACACACACACACACACCCTCAAACAAATAGAGAAAACATACACTGATAGTGATAGACACATTGCAGGGTACAAATAGTAAATACGCAAAACAGACACAGAGAACTGACCGATGCACACACAGCCAGCCAAAGAGAGAGAGAGACACACACACACAGACTGGAGTGGAATTAAGGCATAGTGAATATTAGAGAGGAATAATTCATTTTATTATAGTGAGGAATTCAGCCTCACAATTAAAAATATTATTGTATGTGTTTAAAAAACGTTAAAAAGAGTATATTTATACAGTGATGTCTATCTATTAGTATGCACTATAACTCTTAGGTTACTCAGTAATTAATGGATTGGTTGATAGTTCTTTCCAGGGGTGTACTGAATTCAAGATCAGTTTTTATTTGTACCGGTAGTTGTTGTCCTTCAGGACAACAGTGAATTGTAGAATCCACTTCACTTCAACAAGTGAAGTGGATTCAGGTTGTGTGATTGATTTGCCCCGTCAATAACGTTCAACTGTTCGACCTTGAAAATCTTCTGCGTAGTGCAAGTCTACGTCGTCCGCTCAAAGGTTTGATTGCTGTGTGACAGAGCAGGTTGGGCACGTTTTCTTTCGGCCGATTCCTCTGTTCGCTTAGCAGTACATATAGATACCCAGTAGTTAAACAGTTGTTATGGGTTTCACATTGGGGAAGGTCAATCGTTGGCCGAGGGGAGACCTCGATAAGCACTAGGCTTCCAGTCCCAGAAAAAGAGGAAACCAAACCATTTAGCTACCATCTTGTTATCTTAGGATTACCTGTTGTTATGGTTTCTGTTATATAGTCACCTAATCCTTCAAAGTCTGGCACTGAGAGCACCTCGAATGTCAAGTCCTGACTGATCAATAGGGGCCACTCCCTCTCTTCTTTCAATTTACTGTCTTTCAACATCGTAGTCTTGGGAAACAAAACCTGACTTTTGTTTCTGCAAGTGCAATTAAATTCTAAGTTCTTTTCATTTGTCCATTCCTTGAGTTCGATTTTCTTCTTTGTGGTTTCAACTGGAAACAGTACCATTATGTGGTTAATTGATCCCACATTGCCAGTTGCCAACACTAATCAATTCTCTTTCTTCCCCGTCAGGGATGATGACGCTGGAGCAGGAGCGAGACCATCCCAAGGGGGCCACTGGCGGCGAGGCAGCCTTCCCCGCCCACCCGAGTCTGCAGGCCACTCTGCAACCTGCACTAGACCTCCCGCGGGGTACCCACCCGCAGCTCTCACCCAAGGTCATGAAGCCTACCAGTCACTTCGCTCGTAGGTCCAGGACCCCCGTCAGGCAGTTACAAGTGGACGCCGACACTGTCCTGCCCCAGACCGTCACCCACGAGTCTCCGTCCTTGCTGGGGACGACACGCCATGGCCAGAGGTCAGCCAAATTACAAAGGGCCTCACCAATACAGGGTCATAGGTCACCGCTGGGGAAGAGGTCCACGCACGGACATAGCCACAAGCACGGGTCAGGGGGTGGGATGAAGGGTCCCTCAGATCAGGGCAGCAGGAGAGGCAGTGAGACAGGCGTGGCTCAAAAGCAGAAAAAATTTGCCTTCGAGGTTGTGGTGCCACCGCTGCCGCCGCCCCCTGACCCCAGGGCACAGTGCCGCGTCCATCCCCAGCCCTCCAGTGTCGACAGCGCCGAGAGCGTTAACCTGATGGATCTCTCCAGTGATACTGAACAAGGTGTCGGCAGTGTAGACGTAGCCTCGTCGTCCCCTACGGACGACCAGAACATGGAAGTAGTATACAGCGGTGTCCCGTCGCACCCCAGGACGGCCGTCACCCCCCTCGCCTCCCCAGTGTGGGCAACAAACACAATCACCCCAGCAGCATATCACAGCAGATCTCCCACGGCCGTCGTCTCGCCCTCTAGAGTCCCAGCCATCACCGGCGGCTCCTCCCCCAGAAGGGGAGCCTCTCCGACAGTCCTGTCCCCTGTAGTAGTGAGCATGTCCATCGTCGGAGGAATAAGCCCGGTGGACACGCTGCCCCTGCTAGAGCCCGTGGACATACCCTGTGACGTGCCCATGAACACCGGGGACACTGTCCCCCTCCTGGGCTCCTCTCTTGACGAGGACTCATCACACTCATCACAGGAGCCAAGACCGAAGGACTTTAGGAACATCATGTCCATAGGGCCGCTGCACCTGGCTAAGCCGGCCCTGACGCCGGAGCCCACCAGCGTCTGTGCCTTCGTCAGCCCGGCCCCCTCCGTCTCCGCCCTGCAAATCACCGAGAATTCTTCCATTGGCACAACTTGCCGGCCCAAAGGGGGGAAGACGCTCTCCCTTTTGGGGTTATCCCCAGCTTGTCTGGGGTCCCCGGGGGTCGGGCCGCGGGACGTCACCCAGGAGAGACCGGATGTGACGTCCCCAACTCAGAGGCAGGGTATCACCTCCCCAGCACCACTCTCCACCCCTGATCTCCGGGTGGACATGTTCGAGGCCGACTACCCTGGGGAGGGGTGGCTGGCAGGCAGCATGGAGACCAACATGGAGCTGGGGTCGCCGACGCTCCTGCCATCCGGCTTTCCGGCCATCACCCCCGACGACCTCACGCCCGCAGAGCTCCACGAATTCGACATGAAGTACGGATCGCCTCACCACGCGCGCTCGCGCTCCATCAAGTCGCTCGCGCGCCCCACCCTGCTCGCCCTGCCGCTCGAGCGACCGCGCCTCACCTCTCTCCCTGTCAATGGCGGCGACGAAGACGACGACGATTACTACCGCCTCAGACACTTCTCCATCACAGGTCGTCGCATCGTCAACCGCGGCGACTCCTTCAAGTCGCGACGGACGCGTTCCAACACCAGCGTGGCCTCCGACGCCTCCAGGTGAGTTACTGTTACCTGTTTAATAAACGTATCTGTGCTTCTACGGCCCTTTTCCCAGAACATTCGTCCCATATGTTCGGTTTGGCAAGATCACCAGAACACGTTTGCTCAAAATACCAAATCGACAATTGGTCATTATTCTAACCCTTGTAATCAGTGTTACTTTCGTGTTATTTTGCCAAACATTGCGTATGTGATAGTGTTTTGACGACCTAAATCATGTGATGTTTGCTGAGAACAGGTTGGCTTCTGCAGGTCTCCTCCCTCCTCTCACCTCTCACCGCTCTCCTCTCACTGTGTATACATTCAAGCATTAACTCCTTACACTGTGTGTGTGTGTGTGTGTGTGTGTGTGTGTCCACGCACGCACACACACACGTGTATCTCGCCCTGTTTGTCATTATATGTTGATGGAAGCTTTGTTTCCTATTGTTCTTGCTGCTGCTATTGTTGTTTGATATATTGTTTGCTACTGCCTTTTCTGTTGTATGATTTGTTGTTTGCTATCGTTCTTGCCACTGCTTTGTTGTTTGAGTGATTGCTTGTTAGTGTTGCCTGACGCTCTGGGTTTTCTCCTCCGTTCACTAGATGTTAATGTATGTGTTATCTGACTGCATGTTTGTCGTCATTCATTCAACGCCTTCTGGCTTCAAGACTTTGTTTACTGGTTTGAATTCCTCCAACTCGTTCTGCGCGAAACGGGCTGTTCGTGCAGGCCGTTCTCTCTCTGTTTACCGATACGTTGAAAACGCAGCGGTTTGACCTAGAAATCTACGAACCCAAGCGGCTTATCTAAACCTGTTGAAGCCGATACTTTGAAAACGTTCATTTACGTTGCTTTACTTGCTACTAATACGTCGTATCTTAGACGGATTGGTAGATTCCTTTAAAAAAATTAATCCAAATACGACGTTTCGGATGACAGGACGCGTCGACGTTTGTGTGTTAATTAACAGTAAAGTAACAGTAATTAACAGAAATAAACAGTAAAGTTTCCGAATACTTGCTAATTACAGCATATAGATCTTAATATCTTCCTTAAATTACCTAAAAGTTCTTATGGGCTGTGAGGAGATATCCCAATGCAATAGGACTGGACGGTACAGCGACGAGCTTGCTAATAACCGAGTCGGCGTTCGATTCCCGATGGTGCAAGTGGTTGGGCCCCGCGTCTGCCCCCCCCCCTTCCTCTATCGTTATAGCTCGCCTCCTTTTTCCTTATATCCCGTCCATGTGTTATATAGAGCCGGATTGGCTTAGCGCTTTCTCCTCACAATTACCTTAGCTTACCTATCACCTGATAATTACTTTTCTTATCAGGTGTTGTCTTCCCGTCTCCACAATTGTCTTAAGTAGTATATTGCTTTTTTTCTTGTGTTTAACCGTTTTATTTTTGTGTTTTTTTTTTTTTTTGTTACTGTTTGTTCTTCATAGTTCTCTTTTTATTTCTCGGCAAATACACAGCCGAACGAGAGCGTTTGTTTGTTTGTTTGACGTTATTACGCTATTGTTACGGCGTGTGTTTGTTGGGGTGTGGTGCGTGTGTTTGTTGGGGGTGTGTGTGTTTGCTTGCTGTGACAGGCGAGTGTTCATTCTAGTACTCACCTATTTGTACTCACCTAGTTTGTGCTTGTGGGGGTTGAATTCTGGCTCTTTGGTCCCGCCTCTCAACTGTCAATCAACTGGTGATACGGGTTCCTGCCTGACTGTTCAAGCGAGTGCCTTGTTACAATATAAGAGAGTGCCTTGTTACAATACAAGAGAGTGCCTTGTTACAATACAAGAGAGTGCCTTGTTACAATACAAGAGAGTGCCTTGTTACAATACAAGAGAGTGCCTTGTTACAATACAAGAGAGTGCCTTGTTACAATACAAGAGAGTGCCTTGTTACAATACAAGAGAGTGCCTTGTTACAATACAAGAGAGTGCCTTGTTACAATACAAGAGAGTGCCTTGTTACAATGTAAGAGAGTGCCTTGTTACAATATAAGAGAGTGCCTTGTTACAATACAAGAGAGTGCCTTGTTACAATACAAGAGAGTGCCTTGTTACAATATAAGAGAGTGCCTTGTTACAATACAAGAGAGTGCCTTGTTACAATACAAGAGAGTGCCTTGTTACAATACAAGAGAGTGCCTTGTTACAATACAAGAGAGTGCCTTGTTACAATATAAGAGAGTGCCTTGTTACAATACAAGAGAGTGCCTTGTTACAATACAAGAGAGTGCCTTGTTACAATACAAGAGAGTGCCTTGTTACAATGTAAGAGAGTGCCTTGTTACAATATAAGAGAGTGCCTTGTTACAATATAAGAGAGTGCCTTGTTACAATACAAGAGAGTGCCTTGTTACAATACAAGAGAGTGCCTTGTTACAATATAAGAGAGTGCCTTGTTACAATACAAGAGAGTGCCTTGTTACAATACAAGAGAGTGCCTTGTTACAATACAAGAGAGTGCCTTGTTACAATACAAGAGAGTGCCTTGTTACAATACAAGAGAGTGCCTTGTTACAATGTAAGAGAGTGCCTTGTTACAATACAAGAGAGTGCCTTGTTACAATACAAGAGAGTGCCTTGTTACAATGTAAGAGAGTGCCTTGTTACAATATAAGAGAGTGCCTTGTTACAATGTAAGAGAGTGCCTTGTTACAATATAAGAGAGTGCCTTGTTACAATACAAGAGAGTGCCTTGTTCTTGTATCTGTGTTGTGCCTTCAGCCATTGGCATTTTTCTTAGGTTTATCTTCCCCGTGTATCTTGGCTTCATCAGTCCGCATGTGTCATGACTTAACCCGTATGCGTGTATCTTCGATTTGTACAACCGCGAGTGTCTTGACTTCATCCGGCCACATGTTTACTGACCGCATGCGACCTGACCGCATCCGCAGCCGGTTGTTTTCAAGAGTTGGCACGTGTCTTGGCACGTGTCTTGGCACGTGTCTTGGCACGTGCTGGCACGTGTTTCATCCATGGGTGTCTTTCAGAACATACACAATGGCATACACTAGCTCTAATTTGAATATCACCCTTTGGGGGGGGGTTGAGTATACACACCTGAGCTTCGTATTGTCCTCGAGATCGCTGGAACATTGCAAACGGCAGACACAGTGACCTACACACAAGCGAACAGCATAACTGAAGCGCTGTATTGATTCAAAGTTAGATATCAAATCCCAATATGGTTAGAAGTGAGGAATGAGTAGGTGAGGGTGGAAACACAGCTTGCACTCCATAGTGTAAACTCACAGAGATAGCTAAACATCCCGTACCAACCCCTGTATGTAGTTACAGGTTGTTCTAAACAGACTGTAAACCAGCCTGTAAACACCGTGTACTGTTAATGATTTTATTATTATATTAGTTTTAAAAAACTGCATAATATGTTTTTTATTAAAGCGTTCTTTGTGTCCATGCCGTGCATCAAAAGATTTGTTGAACTCAGTGTGTGGAAATAACATCACATCAGAGTTTGATTGCCAGTTTGTCTCCACGAGGACAATTGGAACTGACAAATGCACCAAAGATTCTTATAGTTGGTCAGAAGCTGTTGGGTGACTGTCTATCGACACTCGGGTGAATTCTTTGGTAGATTTAGTCTCCCACCACGGGGTCAGCGTGACCCGTGGCCAGTTGCCCAGAGTGACACGCTGCCAATCGCGCTGGTCGTGATTAAGAGGCCAATTAAGGGCTCTTTATATATATTGGCTTCACGACGGTGTCTGAATCCAGTGATTATTGCAAATAAGCATCTATCAGCATTATTGATCAAGCATATCTAGAAAAGATATATGTGCATTGTTATATATATATATATATATATATATATATATATATATATATATATATATATATATATATATATATTCCTCAGATATATATATATATATATATATATATATATATATATATATATATATATATATATATATGTCGTACCTAGTAGCCAGAACTCACTTCTGAGCCTACTATGCAAGGCCCAATTTGCCTAATAAGCCAAGTTTTCATGAATTAATTGCTTTTCGACTACCTAACCTACCTAACCTAACCTAACCTAACTTTTTCGGCTACCTAACCTAACCTAACCTATAAAGATAGGTTAGGTTAGGTTAGGTAGGGTTGGTTAGGTTCGGTCATATATCTACGTTAATTTTAACTTCAATAAAAAAAAATTGACCTCTTACATAATGAAATGGGTTGCTTTATCATTTCATAAGAAAAAATTTTGAGAAAATATATTAATTCATGAAAACTTGGCTTATTAGGCAAATCGGGCCTTGCATTGTAGGCTGAAAAGTGAGTTCTGGCTATTAGGTACGACATATACATATATATATATATATATATATATATATATATATATATATATATATATATATATATATATATATATATTCCCTCAGATTCACCAGGAAATTATTGTTTAATTACGTAAGATATGTGATAACTCTAATTTAGCGTGGCATTGCAGATCAATAATTAAGTGTAGCGATTGCAATGAGTAATTTCGTGGAACCAGTGCCGTTAATTATTTCTTTCTCTGGACAAGTGATTAGAGTAATTAGGTAGGACTGTTGGTAAAGAACATTAAGTGCGTAATTAGAAACAGATAATTGCATGATATAGCTGTTAATTTGATATCCAACTTCGTAATTACTAATAATATCCTACAAGATAATGAAACCTTCCAATTGAAATTTGAAAAATCCCAATCAGACTGAAAATTTATAGTCTTATCAAAAACAAATTACAGGAGTTTAAAAGTAACTAGCTCATCGTCGCTGATTTTCAGTCATCATTCGTAATACTATTACACAAATATTACATCAGACAATTAATACAAACAAGGAAATGAGCATTAATTCAAGATAAAAATATGCAAATGATAGGTATAAATAAGAGTATAATTATACTAGTGATTAGAAGTATGATTATAATCTTTACCTTTAAAAAAGGTCTGTCTGTCTGTCTGTCTGTCTGTCTAGGGTCGTAGGTCAGACGCTC